TTTTTTTTTTTTATATATATATATATATATATATTTTCACACACACACACACACACACTGGTGACTGCTACCTTACCTTTTCACCACTTGCAAAGCAATACCCTGTTTAGGAAGGGTAAAAAGGATTTCTGGGAGTAGCAATGGACACAAGAAAAAAGCTATAAATTCTTATTTCAGCAGTACATTTGTTGATTTCTTACAAACCCACCAAATATACCAGAGAAAAGAAAAACCTAATTCACCTGGATGAGTAGTTAATCTCCACCCAGCCTATCTTCCAACAGATATGAAGAAAGACTCCACCCACTAATGTCTGCCACCTACAAGAAACAAAATGACAATTATTTTCAGCTTAAGTAGCAAGAATAGATACAGAACATACTAATGCAGTTAAATTCCAAACAAGCAGTGAATATTGTTCATTCACTTTTACAAAAGGTAAAAAAGCAGGGCACAGTACACAAATCCATTGACAATAGTGTTGAGATTTTGGCAAGGGACACTTCTGCTACAGTTAAAGTATGCACTGATGTCAACTTGCCAGTGACAGGATATCTATAGAGCATCCTTGTCTGCTTCCATACATTGCTCCCTCACTGGCCAGATGAGTGAGGAGTTGCTCCATCAATAGCGAGTAGCATTCTGCTGCATTTCGATCACCAAGGGATTGACACCTTGCTCACCTGGCCAGCAAGGGAGTGGTGCAAGAAAACAGGTGAGCATTTTCTCTCCACTTTGTAATAATCTCATCTCCGGCCAGTTGTTGCCAACGACAGGATGACCAGTGTAATAAAGGCCCTGGGGTGTTTTAGGAATTACATTACTGTTAGGAAGTTGGAGTAAAGGCTTAAAATTAACCCTTTGCTCGCCCAGTGCAAAGCAACAGGTTCACCATACTACTGCCTTCTCCAGTTGCACCCACTTACCTTGCAAAAAAGGACAACAGAGCTCCAAGTATGGAGCACTGTCAAAAAGCGGTTACTGAATAAACCGAGACCAGTAAATTTTGTTATAAAAATATACATTTTATTTGAAAAACATCAAAGTGTTGCACCCATGATACCACCTCTCAATAATTTTGTAAAAGAACAACGTTGTTCAGAGCACTCATCCACTCATTCACTCCTCCTATGAATCCCATACACTCTACAGCAATGAAAATCTTCAGGGTTCAAAGGAGATAATACTCCTAGTATAGCACCTGATTCCTCTTAGGTAATTATGGCCTGCTTGACGATGAGCGCTCTGAACAACGTTGTTCTTTTACGAAATTATTGAGAGGTGGTATCATGGGTGCAACACTTTTATGTTTTTCAAATAAAATTTATATTTTTATAACAAAATTTACTGGTCTCGGTTTATTCAGTAACCGCTTTTTGACAGTGCTCCATACTTGGAGCTCTGTTGTCCTTTTTTGCATATTAATTTTGGTTATAAAACCTTGATGACCAGTCACTACTTCATTAAAGGGGATATACTATATATCGGAGCTCCAGGGTACCCACACCCCCGTTTTTCCACACCCACTTACCTTCTCTCGCCGTTTCCTTCTGCCACTCAGAGTAAAGAAAAATACCAAGAAATATAAGTATGACTCGCTCCCCTTCTTTGCACATGACACCAGCGCTGGTTAGGGCTGACTGACTGCTCTGGTACCCATCCCTGTGATATCATACTATCCCTCCCTCCCCCCCATGCCAAGGTGCTAGGTGTGATCCTCGACTCCAACCTCACTTTTCCACCCCACATCCAATCACTATAAATCCTGCCGCCTTCACCTTTGTAACATCTCCAAAATATGCCCCTGCCTCACCAATGAAAACACAAAAGATACACATCCGCTAACGTGTTGTTCTAGATCAATATTCGCCCATATGTCTGCTCTACCGCCCCAATTTATTTTTATTGATCAAAAGTAATCAGGCTTTAATAATTAAAAAAAACAAAAACACTATTAAGCCGCATTTCTATAATTGTCCAGAATAGGAATTGAGGAATTCTGATAATACACACCAATAGAGACAGAGCTACAAGTAGTGTTCACATAACTAGAAGTTCCATAACTAGGGGCTCCATAAGTTGTGGCCCTGAGAGGAAAGGGAAGGACAAGGGTGCAGACAGAGAAAAGGACTTGACTTATGATAAGACAATATAAATGGGCAAAAAAAGGAAGAAGTAGGTAAGAAAAGAGGAAACAGCTAAGGAAGAAGCAGAGAGAAAGGGGGAAGGGGATAAGGATAAAACAGGGAAAAAGAAAGGTAGGTGTCACAGGGGGCAAAATATCACAACAACAATGAAGTATATTCAAAACGAGAAGGTTGGGAGTAGGATATCCAGGGTTCCCAGACGGTCAAAAACGGGAATGGGTGTTATTCAGAATGGCAGTACATTTTTCATTGACCATTAACCCCAAAAGTCTGTACTTGACTGCTTCAAAACTCAGGGTAGGGGACTTCCAGGATTTAGCTATAACTATTTTGGTGGCCGTGAAAATATGTGTTACTAATGTACGTTGTTTCCTAAGCAAATTAGCAACAGGTCTATTAAGAAGAGCTTTACAGGGATCTTTACAAAGGTCAAAAGAAAATAAGGACCGAATGAGATTATAAACCCTAATCCATAAACGCCTAGCCACTGGACAGAACCACTAGATGTGAAACATGTTGCCCATCAAATATCAGCTTCTGAAGCATTGAGGTGAGTAACCCGGAATGAAACTAGCAAGGAATACCGGGGTATAATACCAATGAGAGAGAACCCGGGGTATAATACCAATGAAAGAATTCGCCAAAATGAACACATTTCTCAAACTTTTCGCTGTTGCTGTCCAAATGTCCTGCCAATCATCTAAAGAGATGGGCGAGTGAATATCTGATTCCCAGTGGGCCTGGTACATTCTAGTTGGGTTAGTAGCATGGGATAAAAGCAAGGAGTAAATGGTGGAGATCAGAACGGCAGTGGTTCTCAAAGGCAGGTTATAAGCAGGGTGCAGGTTGAGGACGAATAAGGGTCAAAAGAAAATGACGCAATTGCATATAATGGAAGTGTTCTCTTAATGAAATAAAGTGAGAGTCCCAAAGCGATTGAAATTATTTAATACCCGTTGGGGTAAGCAACGAATATACATCACGAAAGTCATACTTGTACCACCAATTAAATCGTTGAGGACATCGCAAACTAGGAGGAAAAAGGGAGGGACGAGGAAAGAAGTGATAAGGCAAAATTGGAGAGGCTAAAGTCCCAGAAAATTTGACATAATCGTAGTGTATGGGACATAGCTGGTTCTTATGATTTAGGGTGAAGAGAAGGAGGGATCCATGGGAGAGCAAAGGAAGAGGATGGCAATCTAAAAGATCCAGTGCTGCCCATAACGGAATATCCGTTTCATCATGAAGACGAGCAATAGGGGCAATGTTAGCAGCTAAATAATATTTGTGAAGATTCAGAACACTTAATCCTCTACTGAGTTTGGGGGGTAAAACAAATCTGCTTATTAATTCTAGGTCGAGACTTACCCCATATAAAATGAAGCACTTTGCGCTGATGAATACAGAGGACATGCGCCGGAGTGTACAAAAAGCATATAATAATAGATTTTGGAAGGTATCTGAGTGAATAAATTGGGAAGCGAAATTCGACTGGAGGTCATGGAGAGCAATATGCCGTCTGCAAACCACCCTAATTAATTTTGATGACTTTCACAATCCAGGTCAATGGATTTTTTTTTATGATAAATGTAAATAAGATTGATGCTTTAGACAAATGGATATAGCACACATGGCATATGTTGACCCTTTAAAAACCCCACTTCTCGATTTTTCTTCAAAACTTAAAAAGAAAACTCAGCGGATGCAGTGTCATAAACCCCTAAAGCCTGTTTCACACCTGAGCGTTTTTACACGCAAATGTATATGTGCAAAACACACATTTCCATTCAAGTCAATTCCAACTGTTAAAACGTTAGCGTTGCATCGCACATAGAAAAATCGCAAGTCGCACAAAACGATGCAGGAGCTATTTTGAAGCAGATCCCGCGCAGCGAACACATACCGTCACTCGCTCACTTCTCGATCATGTCCCTGCAGAGAGCCGTGACTGTCAGTCATGGCTCCCTGCAGGGATCCCCCCCACTGACTGGAGGAATGGACGGGGCTGTAGCTCGCGATATACTGAGCTTTGGGTCACGGTAGGATGCTAGTATATGTCCTCCCGTGACACTTAAGAAAACTATGGGGGAAAACACTTACCCCATAGTTATCTTTTAAAAAAGGTACCTGAATGTATTTTTAAGATCTAACTCCTGAGTTTAGTGTCACTTTAGTGCAATGCATATCTATGTGACAACCTTGCTAAAGCTTTTTCATGCAATTCAATTAGAATCAATTTTGGGAAGCACGTGTTCTCTTATCCATCCTTCCAGTTGGTGAAGCTAAGCTAATAAAAAATGGGCATGTAATGCAAACTACATTTTGTTTTTCCATTTTGACAAATTTATACAACTTGCATTGTTTCAAGTTATAGCTGCTGATGTGACATCAAATACTGATCACAAAGACAAAAAGTATTAAACAATAATTTATTACTTCCATCATTAAATATACACGTGTATATAAAATACTCACCCTTGAAAAAGGGTAGGATAGGTGAATTTCAGAATAGACAGAACATACTGGAAAACAAAGACCAGGTTAATTGGACAGACATCAATTAAGTTAAAACATAAATAAATCTAATTAGGACTTGTTCACATCAGTACACATGTAATGTGGACTACATAGAACAATCTATTAGAAGCAGGCCAAAGCTATGATAGTAAGGCTTTTCATGTACATAGGTTGAACTGGATACATAGGTTGAACTGGATGGACCTTGGTCTTTATTCAACTTTACATACGATGTTACTATGTATATTGACTTCTCCACATACAGAGTAAAGCTGGCCATACACTTATAGACTTGGGCACGAACGTTCATACAAATAAATCATCAGAACATTCAATAACGCCATTATACTCACCTGATCCTCGACCCTGCTTGGCTGCTAGACCGATCCCCACAGCCTCTTCTCCCCTGGGTATAAGGTCTGTGACGTCGTCATGTCTAATGCAGCTGCACTAGATGGGATGACACTAAGGGATGTTCTACCACCAAGGTGGAGAGGGACAGAGGCGAGCGCTCACAGCTGCAGCGCTAAGGATCAGGCGAGTATATTTTCTTTATTTGAGCCCTTAGACCAAAACAGGCAGTTAACCCTTGCAGTGCAGAAGTAGCCCCACTGAAAGGGGTAATTTTCAGATTTCCTGGAGTTCTTCTTTAAGACAGATCTTTACTCATTGGCAGCACATTCTTCACTGCAGACCGCAATACCACGCCCAGAAGGCAAACAATAACTGGGTACGCAGAACCAGCCAGTCCAGTCCTTTCTTATGTCATGATGTCCAACTAGGAAATGAGACACATGGAGCCAATACACTGGAAACCTGTCACTTCCACAACTTTTAGGTGTTCTAATTTTATTCATGTCTCCCAGGCTGTATATCTAAAGTGGACCTCCAGCAAAAATTTTCCGATTTAAGATTTGAACAGGGAAAGGTTAGAAAGTTTTTTTATTATTTCTTTATCCCCATTTGGGAATTTTTACCTGACACATAATTGGAAAGGAGAGGAAATCTTCTCCAAAATGAGAGGAAATCTCACCACTGAATGCTATCACTGGAACATTTGGGCCATTCAAGAGATTTTCCCTCTCCTCCTGTTCCAATGACGACTATAACATTACAGAGATTTTCCTCACTATCTGTCCCGGTGAAAACTGTGACATAAACAGCAATAAACATCTGACTTCATGTCTAATCCTTTCCTGTTTTGTCCAAAATATAAAAAAAGAGTTTTGGTTCGGAGCTCAGCTATAATATTGTTTATCCTGTCCTTGAAATCTAAATAGGCAGTGAGGACCAATTAGGGGTCTGATAACAGGGTACATGCTAGGAGTAGTGTGCAGGAAAGGACCGCTCACGAGACCCCTGTAGAATAACTAAACATGGCTTATTGTCTGATCGTATGAAGTAAATAAAACACAGAATACATCCACATCCAGTGCTAGGAAAACCTACTGGCAGGAACAAGGCGGACCGATGTTGCATCACACACATACAGTATAATGCAGTGTAAGGAGACCCAGTCACACTTCAGTGCTGTGCGTTAATGTGCACGTGTTAACATGCACTGCATTAGGGCAGCCCTTTCATTATGAATAGGCTTCCACAATGGAAGGAAAAAAAAACAATGCAATGCACAGAATATGCATTGTGATGGGCTGCAGTGCATTATGCACCACTGTACAATGTGCCACAATGAAAGGCACCGCAACACACCACACACATTGAGTAGGTGCACCTGGCATGTGCTGCCACAGCCTTTAAGTGTGAGTGGGCCCATAAAGTACCCCAGTTATGAAATGATGGCTGCCACTGTTGCCCTTGTTTTGACAATGTTAGCTACCTGGCTGCGTCTGGCTTCTGTATATTTGAGCCATACTGAAATATGCAGCAAATGAGTGTCAGAGAAAAGGCAGAAACATACAGTGCACTCAGAAAGTATTCAGACCCCCTTCACTTTTTTCAATGCTGTTACATTGCAGCCTGATACTATGGTTGTTTCAATTCTTTTTATTCTCATTAATCTACACTCAGTACTGGAGGTGCACCGAAAAGAAAATTTCAAAACCGAAACCAAAAATGAAAATAAAAGTCAGGCTGAAACCAAAAAATCTTTTTCACACAAAAAAAAAATACATTTTTTATACAATTGAAAAAAAATGTTTTATTTAATTTTTATTTATTTATTTATTTGAATTAAATATTTTTATTCTTTACTTTATTGTTGGGGGCTTCGGGGAAGTATTAGGCCCCTGATATTCCCCTTTTAAAATTGAAAAAGAGATTGCGAACACAGAGTCCTTAATCTCTTATTCTGCAGCCCGTTATAAATGAACAGGAATCCTCTATACTGAGTGTTCCTGTTCAATTCATAACTTGTGGAGATAGTATGTTTACCTTGTCCACCATCATGAATGAACAGGAAGTGATGTAGATCACTCCCATTCATTCACAATCATCGACACAGAAAACATACTCTGTCCTCAATTATTTACAAACACTCAGTGATCGCTGAGTGTTTGTACCCGCTCTCCATCCTGGATCGGCTGTCACAGAAGGCTGAGCAGTGAGGGAGGAGAGCTCAGCCTCCTGTGACAGCAATGACAGTTGCCACCACCCCCACACCGCGGGTCTCCATCTTGATCTGTCACAGGAGGCTGAGCAGTGAGGGAGGAGAGCTCAGCCTCCTGTGACAGCAATGACAGCTGCCACCACCCCCACACCGCGAGTCTCCATCTTGATCTGTCACAGGAGGCTGAGCGGTGCGGGGAGGAGAGACGCAGACCGCTCACATCGCTCTCCTTCTCCTGTGACAGTTTCTCTCCTCCCCGCTGGGACACAGAACACCCAACGGGGAGGAGAGAAACCACGGATGCACCGCTATTTCGGCCAACAAAATGGCACTTTCGGCATTTTGACAAAAGTGCCATTTTGAGCTGATATGTTAAAGGAGAACTATGAGATGAGTGATTTCCACTCACCTCATAGTTCTAGCCGACCTGTGACAATGAGACTGTCACAGGTCGGCTCAGTAGATCGGGAGGTGAGCGAACACATACCAGGTTCGCTCACCTCTCGATCCTGTCACGGCTCTCTGCCGTGACAGGGGGAGGGGCTGGATTCCCCCCTCCCCGATCTGCCAGCGCTGACTGGTGGAATGGACGGGGAGGGGGCGGGTACAGCTGGCTCTGCCTCTAGATAGGCAGAGCCAGCTGTCACTCACGCAGCTGGGCGGATCCCGTCATCTATGTCGGGATCCGCTCCGGCTGCGGCGTCTAAGTATACCGCGAGCTGTAGCTCGCGGTATACTGAGCTTAGGGTAACGGGAGGACGCTAATTTGTGTCCTCCCGTTACCCTAAGGAGAACTATGGGGAAAAACACTGACCCCATAGTTCTCCTTTAAGGGGACGAAATTCTGGTGCAGCCCTACTCAGTACCACATAATGAGAAAGTGAAAACAGAATTTTAGAAGTGTCAGCAATTACAACCTCAAGGCTTTTTGGGTATGAAGCCACAAGCTTTACACACCTGGATTGGGGGATTTTCAGCCATTCATTTTTGTGAATCCTTTCAAGCTCAGTCAGGTTGAATGGAGACCGTCGGTGGACAGCCATTTTCAGGTCTCAGTGTCTTCTAAGACTGGAGCAGACCGAATCTGGAGCAACTGGAGCAGACAGAATCTGGAGCAGGTGTCCATAGCAACCAGCTTATATCTTTAATTTACAAAGCTTAACTACACAAACTGAACAGAGAAGCTGATTGGTTGTCATAGACAACTGCTCCAGATTATGCATGGATGCGGGATTCCTATCGCCCACGACATGCAGTTCCGTGCACCGGGAAGGTGTTTTTGTTTTTTTCTACATTTAGCCCTGCTATGGGCAAGCAGGGCTAAATGTAAAGCGGGGAAGCCCCTCGTTCTCCGAACTGCTCTGTGTGATCAGTGAGACAGAAGTGCTGGACTCAACGCTTCCTGTCTCAGCTGTTGGGCTGCACACAGATCAAGCACAATGCTGTGTTGAATCTACTGTATTAGAGGCCAAGCTTCATAAGGAGAGCCTGTCATCTCTAAACGCTATCACATAAGGGGCCTGTGAAATAAAAAAAACTATTTTTAAACAAAGAGCTAAGTGCTAAGAAAAAGTTTAAAAAGAAGAAGAAGTTCTACTTACCCAAACTGCAGAGCGGGCTGGCCACTACTCCAGTCCCTGAAGCATGTTTACTCCTCCATGGCACCGATGGTATGTCCCTTGGCATCCTCATGTCCTATACAGTGGGGGGAATTTAGGGAATTTATTAAAACTGGAGCTGACAAAATCTGGAGCAGCTGCCCATAGTAACCAATTAGCTTCTCTCTTCATTTTTTTCTTATTTGAATTTAAAAGAAGCTGATTGGTTACTATGGACAACTGCTCCGGATTCTGTCTGCTTCAATTTTGATACATTCCCCCCACTGTGTATAGAACATGATGACTTGAGGATCCTAAGACTGCTGCAGCAGAGGGGGAGAAAGGCTCCAGGGACTGGTCTAACAGCAAACTGGCTCCGAGGATCGGGGGATTTTTTTTTTGAGCACCTAGCCAATTTAAAATGAATGGGCCAATAATGCACCTCAATTGCCCAGAAATCAAACCTGCAACTTTTCTGGCAGCACACTGCAAGGCACATTAGTGTCACACAGGATCCTCTTCCTCAGGCAGCGACATGTCACTGTCTTAGGAAGGGGATCCCGTGTGACCCTGAAACGTTTGTTGCATTAATTGTGATATGCTGCACCTCGTCAATAAATAGACGTTTATGCATTCTCAATTGGAGTGCCGGTGTCTCTGCTTTTATCTATGCGCATTTTTGTGCCACGCAGATATCGCACAGGTGTGAACAAGCTGCATTGGCATGTATTAGGTTTTTTGTTTTGCGCATTTCCGCTAATGTGTGTACAGAGCCTAACAGAAGGTCCGTGCCTCTGTACAGAGAGGTGCTGGAGGGATAGTCTGCAGGAACCTGGGCATTGCATCTGTGACCCTCTGATTGAAGTCGCAATGCTTTGCAGACTCAAATGCAGAAATAGAACGCATGCATGCACAGTTTTTCCCCCCAATATGGGTGCATTTATTATTTGCAAAAAGCAGAACATGCCTTTAACGCAATTTGATAATCCTTACTGTAAATATATATCCCAAATCCATCAGTGCACTTCCTAACACCTAGACACAGCCCTTCACCTTCTGAGAAATCTAAGCCCAATACAGATGTGTGCTCCTTCAGGCCCCCTGGGCTCACCTTGTTTGTGAAGTAAGAAGCCAAATAGAAGGAGCAGAAGGTGAGACCCACCGCGGGTCCCCTAAAATACATCTGTCACCGCATTCCACTGCTCTGATCGCTTCTTATGCTTCCCAATACGGTCAGCTACAAGAGAGGAAAAGAATCAGCAGCAGGCTGCCATGACACTTACACGTTGCTCTGCGGCTCCTCCAATCAGCATAAGGTGTCACTTTGTACGCCCCGCCTCCTCTTACACGCGTCCGTGTACTGTGGAGCGGGCGCCTGTGTAGATATTTACATATCCCCGCCCACTCTGTACACCAGGCTCAATGCAATCCTGAGCTCGGGGAAGCTCATGTTATACGGCGAGAGGAAAGTCAGGGGCGGCTGTCATAACAGAGAATCAATGTAGACCACAGCAATAAGAAACCTGACAGGGGTATCATCGTTCTTCACTCTATCCCATAATAAAATATTAAAATGACTGATTTCATGAACGAATCAGTGAGGATGTCTAACAAAAAACTTTATTGTATTAGTTTTGTAGACTGACAGCTGTCTGTACACAAATCCCATTGTCTACGTGTGTATTGGGACTAATGCACTTCTCTGAACTCAGACCCTCTGCATTCAGTGTCTGTATACAGGTAAACAATAGGATCTATGTATATACCCGTACAGCTGCTGACATTGATCTATACAGGCTATATCGACTGACTGGCAGATTATATATCTAGCTCTATCTATAGATAGAGATAGATAGATAGATAGATAGATAGATAGATAGATAGATAGATAGATAGATAGATAGCTCTATCTGTAGATAGAGATAGATGTATATCTATCTTTAGATATAGATATATATCAGTGTACTTTTGCTGTCCCCTCAAAATAACTTAACACACAGCCATTAATGTCTAAACTGCAGGCAACAAAAGTGAATACACCCCTAAGGCCCCATTCACACCTGACCGTTTTGTAGCGCGTCCTACGCTCGATGAATGCTCTACAAAACGGTCAAAAAAATAAATAGCACTGTAGTCAATGGCCTCGTTCCCACCTGTCCGTATTTCCGCCCGTCCCGAGCGCACTACAAAACGGCCCACGCATGAAAAGGTCCCGGAGCGTTTTTTGCTGCGTATTGGTCCGTTTTGTAGGGCGTTTTCCATTTGTATACTGCCAAGTAGCCTTTGGAATCGCGCGATTCAACATGGCACCTCATGGCAAAGAACTCTCTGATGATCTGAAAAAAAGAATTGTTGCTCTACATAAAGATGGCCTAGGCTATAAGAAGATTGCCAAGACCCTGAAACTGAGCTGCAGGATGATGGCCAAGACCATACAACGGTTTAACAAGACAGGTTCCACTCAGAACAGTCCTCAACATGGTCGACCAAAGAAGTTGAGTGCACATGCTCAGCATCATATCCAGAGGTTGCCTTTGGGAAATAGATGTATGAGTGCTGCCAGCATTGCTGCAGAGGTTGAAGGGGTGGGGAGTTAGCCTGTATAACGACTCTAAACACACCTCTAAGACGACCACTGCCTTGCTAAAGAAGCTGAGGGTAAAGGTGATGGACTGGCCAAGCATGTCTCCAGACCTAAACCCTATTGAGCATCTGTGGGGCATCCTAAAACGGAAGGTGGAGGAGCGCATGTTCTCTAACATCCACCAGCTCCGTGATGTCGTCATGGAGGAGTGGAAGAGGACTCCAGTGGTAACCTGTTAAGCTCTGGTGAACTCCATGCCCAAGAGGGTTAAGGCAGTGCTGGAAAATAATGGTGGCCACACAAAATATTGACACTTTGGGCCCAATTTGGACATTTTCACTTGGGTGTACTCACTTTTGTTGCCAGCGGTTTAGACATAATGGCTGTGTGTTGAGTTATTTTGAGGGAACAGCAAATGTACACTGATATACAAGCTGTACACTCACTACTTTACATTGTAGCAAAGTGTCACATGAAATGATATAATAAAATATTTACAAAAATGTGAGGGGTGTACTCACTCCTGTGAGATACTGTATATATACTGTACCTGATGATCTGTACGGCAATTTCTAGCCAAGTGAGTTGATTTTAACAGCTAGATTTTAGTGTCTAAACTATGAACAAAACTGTATCTTATTTGTGTATCACTCGGCTGTAGATCCTCAAATCATCTCTGAATTGGTGCTGACACTGTCCTTCCTTCTGGGGGGTAGCTATTTTTGTTCCCCATAGTCCGTGTGTGTGTGTGTTAGTTATAAAGTAGCCACCGCTCCAAACTCGCTCCCGTGATGGACTACAATCTCAATACAAATGAGTAAACTAAACATGAGCTTGTAGTCCATCACGGGAGTGAGTTTGGAGCGGTGGCTACATTACAACACACACAGGAGACCATGGGGAACAAAAGTAGCCACCCTCCAGAAGGAAGGACAGTGTCAGCACCAATTCAGAGAAGATTTGAGGATCTATAGCCGAGTGGTACACAAATAAGGTCCAGTATTGTTAAGAGTTAAGGTACTTGAATGTATTTTTAAGATTTAACTCCTGAGTTAAGTGTCACTTTAAAGCAAATCAGTGCTCAGTGGTTCTTCCTGTTAACCTCTACATCATTGTTCTACCCTGTGGAGGAAAGCATGTGCTGCTGCGGAATGAGGAGTAAGGTAAGTATACCTGGTTCCCTGCCCTTTTCTGGACTATCCAAATCCAAAAAGATCCGCAGGAGTTAGCACAGGATCAGCACAACGTAAAAGACAGCATGTCCTATAAATATCCAAAACACAGTCAGCTGTTATATAAGGACACATTGGGCAGTATGTCATATAAGGATCAATAACACACAGTGTATATGGACATGGATATAACACAAGGGGCGGTATGTCACATAAGGATCCATGACACATAGGGCGGTATGTCACATAGGGCAGTATATCATATAAAGATGCATGACACATAGGGCAGTATATCATATAAAGATGCATGACACATAGGGCAGTAGATCATATAAAGATCCATGACACACAGTTCAGTAGATTATATACAGATCCATGACACACAGGGCAGTACATCATATAAAGATCCATGACACATAGGACAGTAGATCATATAAAGATCCATGACATATAGGACAGTAGATCTTATATTGATCCATGACACATATGACAGTATATCATATAAAGATCAATGACACATAGGACAGTATATCATATAAAGATCCATAGCACACAAGGCAAGATATTAGAATTTATAGCACACGGGGCAGCATATCATGTAAGGATCTATGACACATAGGGCGTGTGTCAGATAAGCATTGACAACACATAGGTCAACATGACACAATAAGTTCGACAACAAAGACGTCAGCTAGACAAACAACGAGCGCCGTCCCCATGGTGACGCATCCCTTTCGTGCAAAGAAAACATATAGCCCCCCCCCAAAAAAAAAAAAATTAATGTCTGTCACGTACATGTTCAACACCCAATCATGGTTCTTGCTTTGTGTGTCTAACAAACACCCATTACGTCACTCCATGGATCGGACACTAGAGGCCGCTGGTTACATCTTTATATAGGTAGACATTTTACCGAAGCCGCTTGCTTAATGGCTTTGAGAAAACCCACCGATAAAATATAACATTATAATACCAGCATGTTTAATGTCTCTAGGTATATAATAAAGCATACAAAATTACTTTTTTTTTTTAAATACTAGTATTTATTCTATAGAATGTAGTCTAAAATATAGGACATGTGAGAGACGGAAAAGGCCACAGTGTCACCTCTACCATTCCTCAGCGATGAGGGAATGGACACGTGAGGAGGGCGTTCCCAACAAGCTTTGACTATCCCAGGGTGCATTGCGCTGCTCTGTCATACACCGGTTTCGGCGACGAACTAACTGACTGTGCGGCCTCAAAGCGACCACAGCTTCAATCTCTGACTTCTATCTGCTATTATCTCGGCTAGGAGTAGGACAATCCGCAGATCTCCTCTCAGCTCTATATACAGAACAGATCTACACAGCGAATACCGTCCATAGCAGGACTCGTAGTGAGGCTCGGACAAGTCCAGACGTATCCCAGTGTTGTACTGAGCTCAGTCTACGACATTTCTACAGTGTATTCTATCGGTCCGACCTCTCCTCCTTATACTCTGCCTATTCCGTCCATATCCAGCATCGACCATAGTCTGAATGAGAAGATGGACCAAGGGGGAATCATCACACCCGAATCCCGGCCGGTGAGACACCCCTACGTTAGCCTCATGTGTAGCTACAAGCTAATATTTACGTACGTGTGTATGATTTTATATATATATATATAGATATATATATCACACTTTCCGCGGATGCCCATGACCATATAAGGGCACAGCTGCCGCTTTGTGCTGACAGTGTACCAGCCATGTACGGCCCCAATCCTGCTGGTCACGTGACTGTATCTGAAGACTTCTTAAAGCCATAGTCCAAAAAAAAAATTTTTGTGAGGTGGGGGGAGGGGTAGCACAAGTAATGTGTTACCTCTACTGATGAGTATCCAATGCTGGGATGTATACTATACAAATCATATCTTCATTGACAGAGTATATTATTCTGCTCTTCCAGTGGATTGTGTCCTTTTACCTGCCTCCTCTTCTCCCCTTATCCATTCACCAACAGCCATGTGTTCTTTTCACAGAATGCAAGGCGCTCTGTAAATGGACGGGGAGAGAGGAAGGGGTCAGCGAATGACATGTTCTCTCCTTATCTAGTGACGTTCAATCTCTTTAGCTGAGACCCGAATAGCAGTAAAAACCCAGTAGGGGGTCTAATGTATGTGAGATAGGGACCTTAGATTATAAGGGATGGGGAGGGACTGATGTGAATGTGCCCTATGTAAAGTGCTGTGTAAATTGTCGGCGCTATATAAATACTTGTAATAAAAAAAAATCTTTCTCACTAGAAAAAGAAGTGCTGTAAGATTTTTCGGCTTGACGTGCACTTTACTATTAGCTGTGGTCTGATAAAGACTGCTGCCTAGCATTAGAAATGACTGGGTGGTTTGCCATTAGATGGCACAGGTCTCCTCCCATCCCGGTGACTCCTGGCAGATTATTTAGCAGCGGCTTCACTGCCCACTTTTTATTACCTTGCTGCATTTATAGGATGACTCTTGTACTTTGTTCACCTGTTTCACAATATCTGATGTTGGTGATGTCACACAACGCCAGGCATTTCCATCTGACTCGCTGATTATATCTTCGCTGTCATACTGCTTTTTGCGGTTACATTGGTTTCTGTAGAGCGAGAAGAGGATCGGCAGAGTGGTGTATTAGTAGTTGAAGTAAAGTTTATCTCCATTTATAAAGAGAAACGAGTCTCGTGTCATTCTAAATATATTCATGCTAATTTATAGGTTGGACCTGAAGGTGGCAGATCTGCTGGCTGAATACGTTCATGCTTCTTAGCCTCCTATGTGATAACAATAAAGTGAAGTGTAAAAAAAAAATGAAAGAACCATAAAAAAAAGTTGCATATAAAAAATATTGTTTTTAAGTCCCCCGCCCCCCACATACACACTCAAACGTGTCGGGTGCGTCTACGTGTGGAAACGATGATTGCGCCTATTGTGCCGCACATGTTGCATGTCACTGCAAATGTCGGAGTGGGATGAATAATTTTAGGGCCATTAATTACTGATAACACTAAACTGATGAGCGGTAAAAACTTTTAGGCTGGGTTCACACCTGACCGGTTTTTTTATGCTCGTTTTTTTCGTTCAGTGAAACGTGCGTTTCACTGGCTGTATGATTTTTTTTTTTGCTTGTTTGTTTTTTCCTTTTATTTTCTCTATTTCAAAAAAAAAAAATTATATTTTGTTTCACTTTTAAACTTCCTGCCGGCTCCACCCCCCGCAGCCGCTTGCAAGGGACGGAACCCGGAAGTCGGCAGCCGACGACGACACTGCGGGGATCGCGGACAAGGTAAGACCTGTACGCTGTATTCCTGGGTGTGGCTCGGGTTTACCGCTTTGTTAACCCCGATCCACACTCTGGAATACCAATGGAAACGCGCGGCAAAACGCCCCAAAGAAGCTCCTGTACTTCTTTGGGCGTAGGGTGTTTTGCAGCGCGTTCCTACACGCTGTAAAACGACTAGGTGGGAACCATGCCCATAGGCAATCATTGGTTTTCACATGTTGAGCGTTTTACAGCGTGTAGGAACGCGCTGTAAAATGCCCAGGTGTGAACCAGGCCTTAAAGCGTCGCCTATGACCAATTTTGGGTGTGGTGGATTTTTTTTTTGCGGGTAATAGTAAGGCTTGACATGTTTGGTGTCTATTTACCCGACGTGACCCCATCTTTTATATTTTACCAAACAAATTTGGTAATAATGTTTCATAACATTTCATAGGGAAACAGGTTTTGTTTTTTTGTTTTTCTTCAAAATTTAAGGTACTTTTTTGTTATATAGTAAACAATAAAACCCGCAGTGGTGATTAAATACCACCAAAAGAAAGCTCTATCTGTCCCAAAAAATGGTCTAAAATTCATTTCAGTACAGCGTTGCATGACGGAGTAAATGTCAGTCCAAAGTACCGCAGAACTGAAAAATGGCCTGGCCAGGAAGGGGGTGTAAACACCCTGGTCAGCAAGTGGTTAAGATTAAATTCCCGAGTTTAGTGTCCCTTTAATGAAAGTGGAAGAGCAGCAGAGAAACCACACTTCCCTTTCCTGTTAGGCAGAGCTGTGCAAACATTGGGACATTGGGACTGAATAGACAGAAATACAAATCCTTTGGCAGGTAAAACAACTTGTATGTGTGTATATGCTGTTTGCCTGCGGTTCAGGTTGAGGTAAGGTGCATTTAAGGTAGGGGCAGGGTAGGTAAGGTGGGGGCAGGTGCCATTATCTATCGGTTTGTCTTTGTCACCTACAAAAATAGGGCATTCATATAATTTTGGAATGAATCTAGTTTTCATTGTTTTGTAGTTCCTTTTTACATTGTGTGTAAAGCTTATATATATATATATATTTCATTTTAGAGCCCTTGGGGTTTACCTGCAAAGCCTGTGAATCAGTGCTCGTTGGCAGAAGTCATGAGCGAAGAGCTGGCTAGAGAGCTGCAGCTGGAGGAAGAGAGACATGTGTCCCCAGAAGAAGTACTGTAAGTTACATATCAACCTCTGTCTGCTCCAATAAGATGTATCATATACTGTATATACCGGCTGTACAAAACCTGCAATGTTTGCCATTATATTTGTGTAGGTTCCCAATTCAGACTTTTCTTCATTATTAGTCTTTTTAAGTCGTCTACTATATTTATTTAGCTAAAGTGGGAAAAAAAATTCTTATAGAAAAGTATAATGGCGTCTGTACTAAAAAATCTCCCAAATTGTGTATGTTTGTAAACGTAAAAGTGGAGATGAACTGAAATAAAATGAAGATTTATCATGTAAGGAACATCTAGAAATTGTAATTGTTTCAGTCACGGCACCCTTATGCAAATCTTAAGGCATTACAGTCTAAAATATACAAATTGACATGTGCCCCCCAAAGTACTTTTTTCAAACGGGTCTGGTATGGATTTTAAGGGGAAAAACATTTGCATCAGGGGCCCCTCCTTTCACATCAGATTCCCCCCGTCACACTAGAAGCTGCCCCTCAAATAGGAAATGTCTGCTTCATATCAGGAGCTCCCCCCTTCAAATTATGAGCCTCCATTGGAAGCCTGCCTGCACCATGGAAAATTGTGATGCTGTGTGAATATTTCGAGGTACCCCAGAAGAAGGCAGATTAAGGCTGCAGTAGATGCCATCAAGCTCTCTGTTTATTCAAGTGCCGATGTTTCAGCTTGGCAGGGCTATGGCTTTGCTTGATATTGGCCGTTAAATCTGTTCCTGTAGCATTAAGTTGGCTTGCTATGGAGAGTGGAAAGTTTATACTCCAACAGATTATAAATTGTCCATAGAACTGAATGGAGATAGTGGTACGCAAGGGCAAGACCCAAAGGAGAGGACAGTGAAGAAGCTGTGTGGGCCAAGTAGTCTGCACAGCAAAAATCGGTTGGGGATGGGTAAGTATGAGACTTGTCAGTGGATAAGGGAATGGGAGCACAATAAGTGAATCCACTAATATTGAAGTTACACTTATGAGCTTGTATTTACCAGTTATTCTTATGTTCC